ATTACTATTACGATTGCTATCTCAGTACGCCTTTGCTCGATATCTCGGCAGCTTCTTCGACGATTATTTCCGTTCTGTTGCCAAACACGCAATCGCAATCTCGATCAATTTAAAAGCGATTAAATCTACAACTGTTTCGCGAGAGTTCTCTGAGAGTTGCAACGATCTTGACGGAGAAACGCGATTAAAATGTTCCGTTTTTCAAAAGGGCATTAATCAAGACTGATGGCACGATTGCGCGCGCGAAGCTTTTGCTTTACAATTAAATTCAATTTTATTTTCGATATTTTGTAATTATGTGCTTTCTCATCAAATTTCTCTGTACCGCTCATTTGACGTTACATATTTCTTTATCACGTTAAGCACGTCCACGCGACTTACAATTTTTATCACTGTTTAGCACTTTTGTACATTTGTGTGGGATAAGTATATTTCGTGTGAATTTTCTACTAATAACCGTCGCGCAGAAAGCTGTCTCTCAATATTTTAAAGATTAATGTTAAATAATCATAACAATATTGATGGTACACGTGAAAGACGTGAAGTCTTGCGCGAAGTTGCGGAATTAACGAACGCATCATCCAATTAAGAGAATCGTCCAATCAAGAGACATCTGTGCCTCGATCCAACACATCGACATTGATCGATGCGCGCGCGCGTGTCACGTGAAAATAATCGTCGAGGGGCGCGAGCACGAGGCAAATGTTGTTTTCTCTGACAGATGCACCTTTGGATATTACTTTCCCCACGAAACAAACTCTTTTGGCGTGTAATTTATTCATAATTGGATTTCTTGTCTCGACACTCTCCCCGAAACCTCTCACTGGGTTGCGTTTTTTGTTTCCTTTTGTATAAGATTATATATCAGCGTCCCGTTTACCGAAGGCCAGCTTGACTGATCAGCCTTTATCATCCGAAACTGTTTTTACATCGACGTAGCTTATGCTTAACCGGGTGTTGAATTGTTTAAAAGATTCCTCACTGATGTGAACTTAATCCCCATTGTCTCGTGTAAATATATCTATATCTATGAAATATTTAACCAATCTTGTAAATATATGAACCATATGTTTGATATTGTGTCTTAAGAATTTCAATTTTTGTTAATTGAAAATGTATAAGTATCTCAATGGAAGTAAATAATTTTCCTTAATGTACCAAAACCGGGTTAATATATTTTAAAACTTTAGAAGAATCCGCGAGGAAACTTTGTTTAAAATTTATTTCAAGGATTCTCCCCGTCCAAATTATGTACAATGCTATTTTCATTTAAAGATAATAAAAATAATTACGTCTCCGATTTTTGATGTGAAAGTCACCAATAACAATTTCCACATACCGAAATTTGAACTATGACAAATGTCATTTACGGTTTCCCTGGGTGTGTAGTATGAACTATGACTTGAATCGTGTTACAGTTAGTTCAATGAATATGCATGTTACTTTAAATATTCAATAAAGTTTCTCGAAAATGCAACACGTTAAAAATTACAGCGTTGTCGATAGCGCATCGGCGGGGAAGATTGCTGTTATTATTTCGCGTTTGTAAAAAATTCAAAATAAAAAAAACAATTTATAGAATAAAATACCCTTTTTGCCAAACCGTTATCCGTAAAAATAAAAGCAACTCAAGAAACATCTCACTTCATTTTTTTTTTTTTTTTTTTTTTTTTTTTTTTTTTTTTTTTTTTTTGACAACATGAATATACATAAATATACGAACTTTATTCAGAACTGTTACAAAGAGTCGGAACAATTTTGTCGATTTTTCGTTACAAAACACTCATGTGATTCTTTGTGTTGCTTCTATATTGACATATTCAATTCAATATATTCCCATTGCTTTCAAAATTGAACGATATTTAAATATGTATTTTCTTCAGTACACAGTTTTGTGATGAAAAATTACTAGCGAGAAATTATTGCGTATATATTTTATAAAAATCGATACATAATAGAAATAGCAGTAATATACAGATAGTCCACATATGTAATCCATGTGAAAAGAAAAAAATAAAAGGTCAAATGAAGTAATTAAAATCTTTCGGTAGAATAAACAGCGTAATGACTTTTGAATGATAAATTAGAATATATTTGCAACTTTTTAAATATGTTTCTAAGGACTATTAAATAACTATAGTTATTCATAACTATCTCTTTTGACGGTTTTGTAATAATTAGGTTGAAAAGTCACGGTATTGTCTCTTTTATCTGAAATGTGTTCTTTATTAAACCATTAAATTTCACTGAATCGTGCCACGCCGATGTAATATCGTAAATAAAATACTATATATAGTGGATGAGTAAACCGGGGGGAGATGAGACGATAGCTTAAAAGCAGATCCGGGATAGTTGAGTGTAAACAAAACGAAAAAAAAAAAACTAGAAAGTAAAAGCGGCTTTTCACCAGGCCTAACATGCCTTTGCTCTTTCGGCATTGGCTTTCATTTTTCTTCGTTTTTTGATCCTCTATCAGTTAGACACCTATAATATATCCTTTATATATATATATATATATATATACACTCCAAACCGAAAAACGACGTACACTAGAAAGTAGGTAGGGTAAAA